TATCTAAATATTAATTTTGTAACTTTAAAATAAGCACAAATGTTATATTAACTAAAATGACTTGCGTTTTCACTGGAAATCCATTTAGATTTAGATTAAACATATTAACAAGCCATTATTTCTTTGTAAAAGGATTACAGATAAAATTACAAGTCATTTCTAAATTACAAGTAGCATGCACTTGGCTTGAGCTTTTCTAATGATGAAATCAACACCGCTAGGAAACGCAGATGATTGATCACATTAACACGTAATTTGCCATGATGTGTATAATGGATGTGTTTACCTTTTTCTCAGAAAACAAACGGAAACTGAGCCGATTTACCACCAATTTAGTGATTTAAGGTTTGCGTCGATGCAACATTTTGATCGGTTTGTAATCATCGAAAGGATGAAAATAAAGCTCGTAAAATTTAAAGTATCCATTGAACGATGAGAAGACGGTCGTAAAACCGGCCAAAACGGCTGATACGAAGTCGCACTAAAATACATCGTGTTTTATAGCAAACTGAATTAATTAACGTAGAACATAACAACAATAAAGTATGGTAATTCAAGTAGTGGTGTTTGTTCGAAATAATCTCTGATTCTCGACCAACCCCGATCGAGATATAACGCGAGCCTTAAAACCTTATCGCGGAATAATTTACAAACTGAGGATTTAATATATTTTCGTTCGAATGCGAGCCAAAACGGCGGCGAATCACGCACATGCTGACATTTTGCTATTTCTCATCCACTTGGTGCATAAATTTGAAATGCAACCCATTGAAGAAAAATCTAAAGAGTAGGTATCATTTCCTTTGCCATCTATGTTATTTATTTTTATTGCTGCAGAAAGCTCGTAAAATGTAAGTTTGTAATAATTTACAGTCTTGTACGCCTTTTTCTTCTTATCAGATATAAACCGTATATTAATGCGAAAGAAGGTGATACCATCTACCAGCCAGATTTATCAGAAAATATACACAATAGGTATAGAAAAAAAATACATTTTACTTGACCATTTTACATTCGGATAAAATAAAAAACTAACCAAACTGGCGTTATCGCTTTACGACGGTTCGCCTATCCCATCTTTGAACACTTTAGGAGAATAAACATTTAGCAAAGAGTGTGATAACAAAAGCGGCTGGTTTGTTATCAAAGATGATAGAGCAATTGCTGTTTTGGTTGGGGTTACTACGATCCTGTGGCTCACAATGTATTTTCATAACTATATTACCCTATTGATAAAGAATACAAAATCGTAAAAGTTCGAGAGGCCAAAGTAGGTAATAACAGTTTTTCACTTTTAAAAGAGTTACTGAATGCTCAAGGTTCTTCATCATAAAAAGCCTCAGATTTTATTTACATGTTGTTTTGAGGACTAAATTCGGGTTCAAAGTGTATTATACAGTAGCCGAGCTGAAAATAGATGTAAATCGAAACGCATTTTTCAGTTTAATAAATTACATATTGCGTTCACGCGTTCGTGCAGTTTATTCTTTCGCTGAGATTGATAGTGCTGTGAAGGATTAGATCAATTCGACTTTTTTCCGAACTAACAAGATTAATTCTGACAGTTACTTGGAGCATTCAAGAAAATTTGTTGTTTGTTGTCTTTTCTTTCAGTCAAGTCTGGCAACTTGGAAATTTAATTTAGAAGTGTCGAAAGTGAAGTTTTATTTTACAAGGATGCCAATTTCACTTTCTCACTGGTATAATCAAAATATCAAAAACAGGTATGACGGAAAATGGGAGACATAATGGATGTAACATGAATTTTCTATTGGACGTATTTCTCTTCACCAACGGAAAAAGTCGTAAATACAAGTAAGCTATAATGCGAAATGTATTTTTAGTCTCTTCAAAACCGCATAAATCTCATATGTTCCCTTTATGGGGAAAGTGGATCAAATAAAGGTAGCTAGATTACTACTTCACTTGTGTGAATTAAAAGGGTGCGCCACTTTTTATTGTAATTTTCTTAAGTGTTGCTAAAAATTAAAATGTCAATCATATGTCGTCGCTGGAATATAGCAATACCTGCAAATGCAGCTAATAATGAAATATTGAATTGTACTGTCTGAACATAACTTTAGAGAATGCATCGCCAACTCTATTGATTTCTCAGTATATTCCACAAGAATCAGAGTAGAACAAATTCGACACATTATTGTGCGATGTTACAGATGACATTCCATATTTCGCTAATTTGGCGAACAACTTTATTAAATAAAACTGTACATTTTTGAAAAATCTTTTTTTAATTTCATTTAAATAAAATAATTATAATTTGACTCTTCTCGTAATCTTGATTTTCGGAATAATAGAAATAAGAAATTGTGCAATTCCATCAGGATGTTGCTATCAAGGGAAGGAGATGAGATGTCAAATTACTTTTGTAGTTTAGACGAGGAATAAACACCAACAAAACCTTTGCTATAATTAACAAATGAAGAGAAAACACTAAAATTTAACAGTGTTTCTTGCTATTTATTTAATTTAACTGTTTTGTGTTATTTGCACTAAATATAAAAATAAATATATATATATATATATAAATATAACTGCTTGTATTTCTTTTTAAGTGTATTATTTTTTACAAATACCTATATTATGTGTGTAATTTAAAAACTAAAAACAAAAAAAAAATTAGGTATCATATCGGCACTACTATGATCAAAATTAATAAAAAAAATCACTCTTATCAAAGAACCAACAATTCTCTCTAATTTTGTTGTGTTGTGATTTTGGTACTTTTAAATTATTTACTCTAAAAAGATTTTTACATTTGTAAAAATCGAAACAAGCTTTCCACAGAGTGTTAAAAAAAGATTGTAAAATATTTTAGGAGGTAATAGTATGGACCAAAACCAACAAAAAAGTTTTAATAAACATGGGTCCGCAAATTAACGGTTTCGGAGATATCGAGAATTTGTTTTTTGAAACATTTATTTGCAATCTGTTCAAACAAAAAAGAGAAGCTTTTAGTGTAAATTCTAAAAATTTTCACATTCAATATCTCCGAAACCGTTACTTTTTTTAACACTCTGTATAATATAGAATCAATTAATAAGTTTTAAGATACGCATTATTTTTAAATAAACGTAGGTATTTTTTAAATAAAATATGTTTCACTAGTGGGAGATATTCTAGAGTTTTTGCATATTGGATTACATAGTAAGGTTTCAATTAATGTTTTATGGTTTCAATACACAGTTTGATATTCATTATTTTATGCAAGGCGGTAAAAAATGAGAAATGAAGTTGAGATATTTATATTTGTTTAATATACAGGATGTCCCAGCGAGTTGAAAAAGTCCATTAGTGACTTTAAATGGTAAATAAAAAAAAAATTGTAAGGGACATTGATCTGTGCATCACTTAAAATTATTTTCAATCATTCAGCATGTCTCAAAAATAAGTTACGATAAAAACTTGTGTTTTTTTAATGAAACACCGTATGTTTCTTGGCATTTTTGGATGTAGCTTTTAAAACAATGTTTTTACGCTAAACTTTTATTAGTCGATTTCGTTTAGTTTTAGACGAAAACATGCACTCTTTAAAAATGTATTACACAAAAACTATGACAACTAGAACAAATTTTTTCTTACTTCTGCAAAGAAGAAAGTACAGAATTTAAAGTTGTAGCGATTTTTTAGTGTTTTGCATATGTAAAAACTTAGATAGGTAGCTTAAAAAAATTAAATAGAACATCCTATTATTCTAATCTAATAGGTTGATAAATTGTCTATCTAAAAAAATAAACTTTTAATATCTAGAATTAATAAATGAAAAGATATTTAACATTCAATATTAATTGTAGAAACAATGCTTATCAATATCTGGGCATTGTTGATAGTATGGGAACCATAGCAATTCCACCACGGATCACTTATCCGTTAATTTATCCAGAGATTGTAAAAGTCGTTATAAATACTGAAATTAGTAGTAGATTAGTATCTATTAATGTCCTACATGTACATATATTCTTTTAATTTTACAATTTAAAGGTCACTAATGGACTTTTTCAATTCGCTGGGACAGCCTGTATGTAATTAATTTTTGAGAGCAATAAAATTACACACTTTTCTACTACAATATCTGCTAATTAATAAGTATAAAAACTAGCAATTACAAAAATTAAAAGCAATTGAAAAAGATTGTTTTTATTTTTTACTGCAGTGAGAACGTCATACATGGGTTTGTGGGTTTGCGGTTACAAATCGTAAATCGACAATCAATGCACCAAGTTTACACCGAACCGTAAACTACGCAAAACCAGATTAATAATTACAAAATAACCGAAATAGCTCACTCATAACATTAATCTAAATGCGTCTAATTTTGCCTTATAATTTCTTTCATGCTTTCTGGATCTAAATACGCCTGCTGGATTCGCATAATATGGACAGAATGTAATTGTAACTTAGCGTGTCTTTAATTTTCATAATTTCAAACGTTTTCAACTACTTAAGCCATCATTTTTATTCGTAACTATTTCACTGTTTGTAAAGTCAAATTATTTTATTAACCACTTACTTTATGCAACATCATACACTTAAACTTGCTTGTTTTCTTGCGTTCCAATTTCCGGGGTCTCAATAAACACGAGTCTATTAGAGAGCTAAAAATTTGCAAGTCTAATTCAACGCAACTACTTGTTCTCTTAAATTCATTACGGTAGAACTTTTCGGGTTTATTTCGAAAAATAAAGCTTTTGTTCATTTGTTACCGCTCTTCGTGAAATATTAAAAGCAATCTTCTCTCCCTTGGCATCGATGGTAGGATTAATCCAATTATTTCTCCGTTAGCCCTTAAACTTTCATTAAAACACCAAAGTGCGATCTTTTAATTTAAGGGTCTACATTAATATCTTTTTTAACCCTGATTTTGTTCCTGTGTAACCTGATATGCACGTCAACGATTTTATGCGGGTAGAGGAGATAATAACAAGTTTGCTATGAGTTTTTGATGACCTTGTTATTAATCATAACATTTTCTCTTGTTGCAGGAATGTCCAGAGGGTGTTGTCCATGAAGATAGCTTTAAAGAAATTTATTCGAAATTTTTTCCACATGGAAGTGAGTAAAACAATGAGCATTTGTTGTCATACTCGCAATAAAGGAGACACTAGAAATAGCATACAGATTCACATTACAAAGCATGTTAGAACTTGGTTGCACTTTGCCACAATATGACGAGTTCTAACACGTTTTTTGCCTCGTAATATCAAACCTCAACTATAAACACTAACTGAAGAAAATAATTTGTCCATTTGATTACTACTAGGGCTTTAGGGCTTAGAAACAAGTCACAGGGAGTAGTATAGCAGTGACAACGTACCCAGCTGACTCCTTTATCTGCAATAACCGCAAATCTCTCATGACCAGTTAATCCCTTCAATAAATTCAACAAGCTGTTGCAGAAAAAGATAAAGCTGCAGATTAAATCAACGAACGAAATGAAAACATATTTTTAACTTTAATTAAACTAATATGAAGTGCAGTTGGTTGGAAATATAAGCTGTTTAAGCACCTGGCAAATTTTCAAGTACAACCATTCATTTTCCACAACTAGTTTCAAAGTCTGATCATATTTGGCTTCAATCCCGTTGTCTGCCATAATAACATGCATATAAAGACCAAACCTGCAGTTAGCATCAATAAATGGGGTAACCATAAGATAGAACGATAATGTGCAGTGATCGGCAAAATTATGGAATAATCTTATTTATTAAAACTGAAAATATTTTGTTTTGACAAAAATGCACAGGATGATTTTCTTTTAAAAAAATACAAAAACTCCCAACTTGATTTAAAATTGTATGTTTGTTAATTGTTTGTTAATATTATTTAAGTTTTTGGATGATTTTTTTTCGGAAACTTTATGTAGGTAATATTTAATATTTTGATATTATTATTTCGACAATTAAAAGATTTATCGAATTGGCTAAAAAATTAGGGGTTTCCATTAAAACAAAAACGTCGATGACGTCATTACTCAAAAACTAAAAAGTGTAAAATTTTTGAAATCAAGTTGAAAATTGTGGATTTTTTAAAAGAAAATTGACCTATTTGAGCATTTTTGCGAAAACAAAATATTTGCAGTATAAATAGGATTATTTCATAATTTTGGCGCTCGCTGTATTTTTAAAAATTTTGCCCCAACTCAACTCAAATATTTTGAACTTTAATTTTAAAATTTTACTTTTTTATCTTTTAATTTTTTTTTTTTTTTAAATATTAAATTAATTGACCACTCGAGCTTTTTAAAATAAGTAAATTAGCCTTGTATCTCGAAAGCAAATGAAGCTAGAAATTGTAACAATATTTTAGAAAATTTTCAGACGTATTCAGTTTGTTAATCCTCATTCAGTATATTTATGATCACGGAAGTCTTATGACAAATATTTTTTAGTAATGGATGTATGTGAAAGTATCTTTTTTGGACGTTGAAGTAATCGTGCAACAACTCAGTAGGACTCTAGCAGCTTGCGTTCATAAATTTTAATGCATCATTAGTGTAAAAGTTTTTCTCGATCTATCTATTTGGCACGCAAACCTAATACAACATTTCCTTATAACTGTGGCTTTTCCGTTAATTTGAAATGGCAATAAAATAACGCGAAAAGAATATTTTTTTATTCGAAAATAGCTAAACGAAAGCCTCAGACTTGTACTATACAGGATGCGCCAGAACTCGCGCCCCAGGGAAGAATATCATGTAAGGCAAGATACTAGGAACATGGAAAAAATGTTAAAAATGTTCCATCCATAAAAATTTCAAAGTTATGGGAGTTTAAATTTTACACTTTGACACAATTTATTTCTGTTGGAAAAATAATTTTCCAAGTTTTTTGCTACAGGCTAATAGAAAAAGGAAAAAAAAAAGGAAGCTGTATCCTAAATTGTAACTGTGTTTAATGCTATTTGTGGCTTTTATTGGCTAAATTTTTGTACCTTTACTAAATAATTATATAAAAACATATATTTACAAGATTATCAGTATTTCTAAATATAGATATAAAAATATGTCAAATGTCAAAAAATTTTGACATTTATTTTTAAACATTTTCTCTATGTTCTTAGTATCTTATCTTACTTAAAATTTTTCTCTGGAGCACGAGTTCTGACGCACCTAGTATGTATAGACAACAAGATATTTTTTCTTATGTAAGAAGAGTTAAACTTGTTAAACTTGAAACGGTCTTTATATAAATATGTTATTGAATGATGGACTAAACACAGTTTTCATGTCGTCGGTAAATTATAATAACCGCAAACTGGGTCATTAGAATAACTATCTAACATCTATTTTAGATTTGTCGGGATGTGTAAATATCTATTACAGAATAGTCACGAATATGTTTTGAATAATTGCTCTCCGCGGTGTCCCGTATAAAAAATTGTAATAAAAATTAAATTTTCGGGGCTGGCATCCAATTTTTGGCACAGTTGTAATCCTGAACACGTCGCCCCAAATGGGCCACGTCTTCCTTATTGAATTCGATATGGAAAAATTGTCAAAGAGCAGATTCGACTAATGTTTCATTGATGCGTTTCAGATGCGACTCTGTATGCACACTACGTGTTCAAAGCCTTCGATGTCAACTGCAACGGAGCAATTAGTTTCAGGGTAAGTATTCCGTCCTGAAAATAGCCTGAAATTGAAACAACAACAACACCTAGCGAAGCCCGCAGAGTGGCGCAGTGTGCCGATCGAACGGATTCAGACGAGACATTTTAACCTTATAAAACTGAACTGGTCTACAATCCGAAGAAGAGATGGGCATGTTTCAGTTTTACCTTTATGTAGGTCAGGTTTCAGGGAATTGACAAATGTCCCTGATTAAAATTTTAGCCAACACGAAATTAGGTAATTTGTCAGGGTGGCCGGAGCTCGCCAGATGTGCACATAGCGGTAATCAAGAGTGAATGCTGACGGATTGATTCTCCTCTCTTGCGACCCTAATCACTGCCTATAAGACCATTAGACCAAACTGTTTTTCAGTGCTAAAAAACACACGAAAATATTTTTGTCGAATCTAGAACAGATCGTGCGATATGTGCCCGTGGCATTGAAATGCTAAATTTAGGCAACAGTCAACATTTCAAAACTAAAATAAACACAATGTTTTTTAATTTAGGTAAATTTGGACGTATTTTTGGCTCGGTTTAATCATGATTTTATTCGTACTCGGATACGTTATCTGAAAAAATAAAATATAAACGTTTCGTGAGTTCACGACTAATTTAATAATATCAGAATATGCAAAAAAATGTGAAAATTTATTGATGAAGTTGGCTTTTTTATTATTGAAATTTTAGTATGGACTTTACATTAAGTGCAAATAAAATATAACCCAGAAGGTTATACTCAAACTATCAAATGACCGAAAATACTTAAGTCTTTTTGGGGGTAGACAATATTATCAAATCAAATATCTAGATAATAGAAAACAGAGAAACAGAAATAAAAAGCATTTTTATGTTTTTTTCCAAAAGAAATTTATTGTAAAACATTTAAAAGCGCAAGAGATGATTAAGAAATCTGGCCAAATCACAATCAACATGATAAGCCATTTTTATTTGTCACTAGAAGCAGAAACACTTTTGGTTGAATAAGAGCGTTTGTGAATCATTAAATTCACTCCATTGTTAAAGTTATTGGATTTTCTGGATACATTAATCAAACGCTTTTATGTGTTTCAAATTGCAACAACCATTTATAATGAGCGCAAAGTGTAAAGTTAATATGTGGGTGTGTTAATAATTGACACATGATGTGAAACTTTATGTAGTTTAGGTATATGATAGTATATTTGATTTAATTCGATTAACAAATTTTATAATAATAAAAAATGCACTAGTGTCTTTGTGGATTTTGCACATCGTTAAATAAATTAAACTTGAACATTTATATTTAGCATAAATGACCAAAGTTGCAAACTTCGCTAACTAACGTTATACTTTTCTAAAGTTTTAGTTTTGTTACATTTACAGTTATCAGACGAGAAATCTCCACGTTCTACGTTTATGATTTCTTAAAATTTATAGCTTACCTCGGAAAATGGGTCGACTTTTTCAATTAATTCTAACTGCCACAAACACTTTTTGTTGAAGAAATCGATCCATAAAATCAACCTCTGCATTACAATCCTACAAATTAATCTGCATGCAGAAAAAATCATATAACAGAAATAAAGTCCACATTTTTTGCAGTTATTATTAGCTCAGTCATGACACAAAAACATGTAAGTATAGTTTTTGCATTTTCATGAGGAATTTTTATTTTTGTTCTAAGTTATTTCAACAATAAAATAATTTTAAGAAATAAACACTATGATTTATAGTAAGGTAACTTAGCCAAATAAAGCCCACTTAATTTTTACGATTTTTTATACAGGGTGCGCCAGAACTCGCGCCCCAGAGAAAATTTTCAAGCAAAGTAAGATACCAGGAACATGAAAAAAATGTTTAAAAAATTCTATCTGTCAAAAAATTTTATCTATAAAAATTTCGAAGTTATAAGGGTTTAAAGTTTGCACTTTGACTCTATTTATTTCTGTTTGAAAAATAATTTTCGAAGATTTTTTGCTATAGGCTATTAAAAGAGGAAACAAGGAAGCTATATCCTAAATTGTAACTCTGTTCAATGTTATTTGTGGCAAAATTTTTGTCCTTTTACTAAATAATTGTAAAAAAACATATACAATATCATCAGTATCACTAAATACATATAAAAAAATGTCAAATGTCAAAAAATATATGTCAAAATTTTTTGACAAATAGAATTTTTTAAACATTTTTTCATGTTCCTGGTATCTTACCTTACTTGAAAATTTTCTCTGGGGCGCGAGTTCTGGCGCAGCCTGTATATTTTTTGAAATATGCAAAGGTTTGGATTTATTATCGAAATTGTAATTTGAACTTTTGTTTAACAACGTGTACCACAAAAATGCCTGTTTTTAACATAAATATAAAATATTACAAACAGCCTTTTTTGGAACCTCCTAGCCCCAAATAAGGCCCACCATCGACATTAGATAAGGCCCATATTTAAAATATGAGATAGGATTTTTCAATAATCGTATTAACAGTAAGTTAAAGAAAAAATCTTTAATAAACAAACAAAAAACAACATAAAAAATACAAAAAAAAGTAAAGAAACTTCAAAACATGTATTAATATGTAAATAGAAATATTTAATTTTAACATCTAACACCTTGACGCATCAGTTTATAACATATTTCACCATTTACAGTCAACTAAAAGACATATCTAGGAGTAACTTGTATGATGATAGATGACTGGAGGTCCAACGTAGGCTATTTGGTTTTAATTTTCTTCACAATTTAGACGAAAAACTAACGGTGGGCCTTTTTAAGCACCGAGCCTTATTTGGCCTTAGGTACCTTATACAAACTACCTAACTTGTAAAATATGGCGTTTCAAAAATTGAATTTTTACATACAAACTAAAAATTTATAAATGGTCCAAAAGTAGCTCTTTTTACACGTTTTTTTAGTTAAACACTAACAAAAAAAATGTTCTTGTGATAGGTAAACTCTTCGTAAAACTCACAAATTATTACATTAAAAGTTTTGTTAAGTATTAAATTTTGTTTTAACAATTTAAAAAATTGCCTGTTTTTTTTTTATAATATAGATTATCATGTTATATTGAATTCAGCAAATTATTTGTATTTTTTTTATTAATTAAGTTGGTTATACATACTTGTAAATAGAAGAGTTTAATTATAGTTTGTGGAAAGTATAAATGGACACTTGAACATACTTTTTTCTGTAATAAAATAAGCAATAAGAAAACTCATTACTGGTAACCAGCTCTCTTTATGCGTAATAGAAGTTTACTTAAAAGTCTTATACTATTTTATGTACAAAATTAGATCAAAAACAGTGTTGAAGAAGGTTCATGATAATCAGTTTTGTAAAATGATGATGAATAATGACGTTGAACTTAGCAAGAGAAGATTTTTAGAAATTGTACATTTCATGCCCAAGTGTGAAATAAAAAAGTGAGATGTTTTATATCTTCTTTCAGACATTAAACATTAGAAAAACATTGTATGATGGATAGGTCACTATATGAAAGCTAAAATCGTTTTATTTATTTTTCTTTTGAAACAACGAGCGGTTAAACGCGTCACATTAAAGCGAAATGATGGAATAGTGTCGGCCGTCAGAAAAAATGCAAATTCCTCTAATGTATTCAGTTCAATTTATGATTGTTTCATGGCGTGGTTGTAATCTGAATACATAACGATCGCGTCGTGTTGGTCCTTTCTCAAAATTGTTTATTTTTTTCCCAGGACCTGCTGATAACCTTATCGACGTTGCTCCGCGGTTCAGTGTACGAACGCCTCCGATGGACCTTCAAACTGTATGACGTGAACGGTGACGGCTGCATCAGCCGCGGCGAACTGTCCGAAATCGTGGTGGCGGTGCACGAACTAATGGGGCGGCGCGCCCACCAAGTGGAGGACGACCGCAAGGCCCGAGAGCAAATCGACCGAGTCTTCCGGAAGCTGGACCTCAATCAGGACGGCGTCATCACCATCGAGGAGTTCATGGAATCGTGCCTCAAAGACGATGTGATCACTAGGTCTCTGCAGATGTTCGACTTGTGATGACCGAACGGGGAAAAGTGACTTTGTGACGGTTTCACAGCTTTGCTGGGACACGCGCGGCCTTTCTGCGGTTGCTCGGACGGGAACACGACGCCGCAGTCTTAGCATCGTCCATCCGTAACACTTCAACAACATACGTTCTTTTCGGGCCCAACTCCATCTGCAAAAAGCCAAACTTTCAGCACCAAAAAAACTTTTTTCACAGCAGAGGATGCTGACCTTAAAAACATATTTCGATCCTGAAAGCAGTAAAATCTTTTCGACTAAAAGTAAGCCTTCTGGAAACCTCTTTAAAAAAGTCACACAAAGTTGAGCAAGTTTTTTATTGCTACGAAACTGAAGAGTTTCTAATACATGTTTTTAACTTAAATTTTTAACTGGTCTTAAATTCCGAGTTAAAGTTTACAAACAAATTGAAAAAAAAAACTGAGAGTCAACAAATCGGTATACAATTTTGACTGCAAATTTGAACAATTAGAAAATTTCAATTCCGCCATATTAGTTTTTTTTTATTAACCTTTCTGTAAGTGTGCATTTTTCAAGATTGTCTTCAAACTTTTCGGAAAAGAACTTGGGTTTTAACAGTTGATTGTTAAGATTTTTGCATTTGGAGTGGTGGCAAAAAGCACGCAACTTTACGAGTTCCATTTTTGTAACGACTGAATGTCGAAACAGTCTTATGCTTGACCATCGGCTGATTAGTTAGTTAGCTTTGTATGTTTTTTAAAGAACTTTACTCTTACTGTAATATTTTGAAAGGTTAACCTGGAGACAATTCCTGCATATATTTTGAAAACCTTACTTATGATTTGTCAATTAGAAGCTAATATTACGAATAAAAATTGAGATTATTATGTAGCAATTATTCCAGGCTGAAACCTAAATTGAATGTGACTGTAATTAGGTAAATAACGAGCCTATGATTAAAATAATTTCAATCTGAAATTATTTTGATCGTGTAATACCCCAATCAACAGACTAGACTGGGTCTGTCGCCTAATTTAATGTGCTAAGAGAATAAAATCATGGCTCTACATGCACAGGTGTCTGAATTCTCTTCCTGAATTTATTTATATTCTGAAGTGCCTCTTTGCCGTTTCCTTATAAATTATTAATCTGTAAGAAGTAAACGTAAATTTTAACATAATTTACTCTCAAACAACAAATATTTTTGATACAAAAACGTCACATTATTATTGGCATTTGAAAAATAGTACAAAAATTTGCAATTATTTTTGTGTATCGACATACACGAACCATAAAATTGTAACAAAGTTTTACATTTGTTATTAACTGAATATTAAAAAATCTGGAAGTACTTCAGAATGATATTCGATTTTTCCCGTAGTTCAGTAATGTAGCACAAGCTCAAAATATTAATTTTTGAACTTGTGCACCAACAAGTTGTAAATTTATTCGTACTTACATCAGTTTAGCTTAAGATCCTTGTTCTTCCTTAAGTGGTTAAAGTGAATAGAACTTCATCGAATTACTGTTTAAAAAATAGAAACTGTTGGACTAAAATTTCGTTTTGATCGTTGTAGATATTAGAAAATAAGTTCGGCTTTTATTTAGTTTAGTTAAACAAATATCTAGAAAATGTTAATCAAAATATACGATTATATATGATATAGTGATATATATCGTAAAGTAGATGTATTAAAAATCAATTTTTTTCTGTTATCTGTTTCTTTAGTTTATTTCAAACAGTCAGCAAAAGAACAATGTCTGTAAATTACTAAATATGCAATACATCACATGCATATCGATTACTACAATCACAAGAGCCAACCATCACATAATTTGCCAATAAAATGAGCTTTTTAAATGATACGATTAAATGTGGTACCTACTTATTAATAGACTTAAGGTTTCTTAATCTGTATAATTGATTTTTTACTATTCTTTGTATAATACGATGGCCAAAAATGGCATCTTTCATAAACATCTTAAATGTGGAAAATTTTAATTAAAAATGATGATAGAATATAACAAATTTCATACGTGCTGTACTATAAATGTATTACTTAATTAAATTATATTTTATATTCAGGGCACAATTAATTACATTATTACTATTTTTACATCACACATGTCCCATAATATAGCGTATTTCACAACTTTTGCCGAAAATGTTAACTACATATAAAAAAACACCAGGAATATTACCAGAGCCTAATTTATTATTGTTAGTTTAATAACGATTTAATGTTAAACTTATCTAAAAAATGCAATTGTGAAACACCCTATATGCCTAAATAAAAAATAAAAACGCTCATCTGATGCAATTAATGGATTCATATGTTTTTCCAGCAGTCAGCAATATTCGCGCAGTACACATAATTTTGACTGACTAAGAACAAAACTATATTATTATTGTTATAAAATTTAATTAATAAATTGTTATACGGTGTACAATAACTTTGTTTTACTTTTTCCCGTTTTGAATTGTACCAAATCATGAATTTCAAATTTCCCGCTGTCCGTTGCTAAGTGTTTAAATGTCAATAAAACAACAGGGTGCTACTTTATCGACCGTGTAAAATTGCATGGAGTCGTGTTCATAGTTTTATTTCCAAACAATTTATGCTCTTTTATTTATTTGTTAACAAGTAGACATTTCGAGTGCTTGGTATTATTAACCGTAGTGTATTCAACAATGTCGAAAAGAAGAATCGAAGTGTTGGACCCGTTTATAAAAAAGAAACGGTAAGTAACTTAAATGTCATTCATCTACATTTTTCGCCTCGTGGTATTTCAGGGAAGAACGTGGAATTAGCACGGCTGTAACGAATAACCCACAAGTAGCAAACACCTCAATCAACCCATACACCGGCTTACCATACACCAATAAGTACCATGAGTTGTATCGTAAACGTATCACACTTCCTGTTTTTGAATACCGCAACGATTTCATGCGTTTACTTGCCGAAAACCAGTGCATTGTACTGGTTGGCGAGACAGGGTCTGGAAAAACAACACAAATTCCTCAGTGGTGTGTTGAATTTGCTAGGTCAGTGGGCAAAAAAGGGGTGTGTTGTACCCAACCAAGGAGGGTGGCTGCCATGTCTGTGGCACAGAGAGTGTCGGAGGAAATGGATGTCGCCTTAGGCCAAGAAGTGGGCTACAGCATTCGATTCGAGGACTGTTCATCGGCCAAAACAATCCTCAAGTAAGACTAAAGAATTTGATAAAAATTAAAGCCTTTTTTGGAACGATGGGAAAATTGCGAGTAGCGTATGGCCACAAGTTTTGTTTTTGTTTCTAGGAATGTTGTTTAAAAAATTATGGTTATGTTGAAATGTCAATATTGAATTAAAGGGTGTTCAAATTAAACCTCCATACTCAATCAGTGTTAGAAAATGTCATTGTGACAAAAAAGTTTAAATAACTTTTCATATTTCTTCATTCGTTACAGAGTTACAGCTTAGCAAAGGGTAACAATGAATTTTGTACAAGTCGTGATAAATTAAAAACGATAATATTTACATATGAAGCATTCTCATTCAACTGAAGCAATCGAAAGCATTTTGAGCAATTTTTGTAGTTATTATTACCGGGTAACTATTGATGCTTGGGATAGAAAAATCTGTTGGCAACACTGAATTATTAGTAATCGTTCTAATTTGTTGTATCAGAATGTTTCAGGTGACGGCTAAATCAGTAGAATTTCAAATTTAAGTTTGTTAAACTAAAATTTCAAATTTAACAACAACTTGAGGTAAAAAATCATAATCATTTACAGTCACGGTATGTCTTTACTTAATTCTTACTTTTTTCTAATAAAAGTTGTTTTATCTCATGAATGAATTGTTTTCGTACTCATGTTTATGTTTATGTCACACTGACAGTATCCATTAAATGAGACTTGGGAGTAAGCAGTTGTTTTATAAACGTCATCATTTTTATTCCTCACGACCAACTTGTACAAAATTCATTATGTATTACTATTTATTAATCTATAATTCTTTAATGAATGAAGATAGAAAAATATAAAACTTTTTTTCTCAGAATGACGGTTTCTATTACTGGTTGACGTATGGTGGTTTGCTTTTGGGACCCTCTGTATAAAAGTGGAACTACCAAACTCTTACAAAAATCATCTCAAATGAATGTGTTTGTTAACGTTAAGGCTATTTACTATTTTTAGTTTGTAACTAAAATAACTGATGTGGTTTAATAGTTATTTATTCGACGAAATTGAGTGTAAATCGGACGGATTATCTCACCGAGTGGGTTATTAAACCACGAGTGTAACGAATGGTTTATCATCGACGAGGTGGAATAAAGCGTCCGATTTACACTCAAACGAGTTGAATACAACATTTTATTCTTTGAATTAGACTCAATAAGGCTTAAACTTGCTTTAAATCTGTTAAAAATAATCTGACGTTTCGTATTGTGAAATGCCAAACAGTTGTCAAAACTTCCTTACACGGGAGAAAAAAAGTAAATTTTGACAGTGTCGAAGAATAAATATTTTTTCCCTGACCATATACGAAAGTAACATTTTTCATACAGTCAATTAATTACCCACGCGTGTTGGCTGTGTATTGCTTTTGACTTTTATTTTCTTATTAAAACCATCGACTACTTGAACCTAAATTAGCTTAATTAAGTAAGTATTATTTAATATTAATAAATGCCTAATTTAATAACTGTCGATCTTAGATCTTTAACAGAAACATTAAATTGTTTCATTGCAAATAATGGTGTTTTTTTGTCGTGGAGTTTTGGGCATGTGGGAAAAATAGTGTAAATAACTCGCTGGAAAGTGTCTGACGCACTCGTGAGGCTTCTCCACTCGGCTCGCGTCTCGTGCATAAAACTCCCCACTTTGCGTTATTTGTCACTTTACGTGCTCGTTATGTAATGTACTATATTTTTTTTCTTGATGATCAAGAAAATGATATTTTATCAGTCTCACATGATGTGTCAATATCTTGACAAAGATTTTTGTAAACCTATTGTAGCTTGTTTACAACATAAATAAAAAAAAGAATAATAAAAATTTGTTTTTGAAAATTTATTAAATATTTTAGGCGAATAAAAAAGAAATGAAAAGATTTAACATTTTGTTATTAAATAGGTACATGACCGACGGTATGTTGCTCCGCGAAGGCATGAGCGACCCAATGTTGGACGCCTACCAGTGCATTTTACTCGACGAAGCCCACGAACGTACTCTCGCCACTGATATCCTGATGGGCGTTTTAAAAGAAGTGATCAAACAACGCTCCGATTTGAAATTAGTTATTATGTCAGCCACTTTAGATGCCGGCAAATTCCAGCAATATTTCGATAATGCCCCTTTAATGAACGTCCCAGGTCGTACCCATCCAGTGGAAATTTTCTATACACCAGAACCCGAACGTGACTATCTCGAAGCCGCCATCCGTACCGTCATCCAAATCCACATGTGTGAAGAAATAGCCGGCGATATTCTTCTGTTTTTGACCGGTCAAGAAGAAATTGAAGTAGCTTGCAAGCGAATCAAACGCGAAATTGATAATCTAGGGCCCGAAGTTGGCGAACTAAAATGTATTCCTTTGTATTCGACACTGCCTCCGAATTTGCAACAACGTATTTTCGAAGAAGCGCCTCCGACTAAAGCCAATGGGGCCATCGGTCGTAAAGTTGTCGTCTCGACCAACATCGCGGAGACTTCATTGACTATAGATGGCGTTGTATTTGTGATAGACCCCGGATTTGCGAAGCAAAAAGTATACAATCCTAGAATTCGTGTCGAGTCGTTACTGGTATCTCCGATTAGTAAAGCATCAGCACAGCAACGCGCTGGAAGAGCTGGAAGAACACGACCAGGAAAATGTTTCCGACTCTACACGGAAAAAGCATACAAGAATGAAATGCAAGACAACACCTATCCGGAAATTTTACGATCTAATTTGGGTTCGGTAGTTTTACAATTGAAGAAATTAGGAATTGATGATTTGGTACATTTTGATTTTATGGATCCTCCGGCGCCGGAAACTTTGATGAGGGCTTTGGAATTGTTGAATTATTTGGCCGCGTTGGATGATGATGGAAATCTTACGGATTTGGGTGCGGTTATGGCCGAGTTTCCACTTGATCCCCAGTTGGCGAAAATGTTGATTGCCAGCTGTAACCACAACTGTTCCAATGAAATATTGTCCATTACTGCGATGCTGTCAGGTATTTATTTTGATATGTATTCCCAAAGCAGGCCCTCAGCTGTTGCTTTCGTTTGGTTCGATTAGACGCCTTTACAATTTAATATTTCTACTTTTTCGGTTTATTCGGTTGGCAATGATGAACATATTTAGAAATAAATGATGTAATAATAACTTTAGTCCTTGTACAATTACGGGCACGGAATTTTGGACATCAAATTTATGTCAGTTCAAAAAATGTCAATCTAAGCCACGCTTTATTGTCATGACATTTGAAACTAAAATTTGAAAGTTTTAATTGAAATTTATTTTATTTTACGTGTTTTTATATAGTTCAATAAATTATTTTGGTTTGTTGTCATTTTTTTCTCTAGATGTCAAGATAAAAATTACAAAAATCGAAAGTGAAGTTAGTTGCACATGAGGCCCGTTTTATATTTTTATGTCAGTCGAATGACAAATCATCTAAAATTCCGTCTCTGCAATTGTATCATGCCGAACAAAAAAATCGGACAGCAAGGTCATTGTTTGACATGAAATATAAAACTGCCCTTAGATTGAAACCTCACTTTCAAGTTATTGTCACTGATGTTTACGTGATGTTTCTGGCATTCTGACGTTTTGGAGGTTTTGAAAAATCAAATTTGATGTTAAAGCCTGCTTTTCAGTGAATTTTCAGAAAGTATCAAAAATTTGTTGTTACATTTTTTTAAAGATAATCTTACCATTTCTGTTTTTAATTGCGGAACAAAAATTGCTGGTCCAGTAGTTTTTGTGGTAATTCAGTTTATTTAATAAAAAGATAAATACGTATTTTTTGATCCTGTAAATCTATTTTAAACTGCCGACCGTTTTTTAATCATGGTTAATAATTTTTTGATTGCACTATTATTGACTGCTACCTGTTTATTGGTCTGTTGTCCGTCGGTTCGTGTTATTCGGAACGACTTTTGAGCAAAACGGCTAGTAAAACTAATAAATACTTGAAATAACAGACATTGAACAGAACACCACAATGTTGTGGTTTGTTTTGCTCGAGTCGTTCTGACTAAGGTAGCTCTGTAGGAAACGCTTGAGAGCGCAACTATATTGGTTGGATACGGGCAACTGCCCTGCTCCAATGTTTAGTCCCACAGTGCTTCATCAGACCGAATGAGGCGAAGAAAGCGGCCGACGATGCAAAAATGAGATTCGCGCATATTGACGGGGACCATTTGACGCTGCTCAACGTCTACCATGCTTTCAAACAAAGTAAGTTTTTTTATAAGTTTTATTAATTACTTACTGGTGTTTCAATGCTGTCGTTTTTAGGTATGGAAGATCCACAATGGTGCTATGATAACTTTGTCAATTACCGTTCCTTGAAATCAGCTGATAACGTCAGACAACAGTTGTCAAGAATTATGGATCGGTTTAATCTCAAGCGAACTTCTACAGATTTCACAAGCAAGGATTATTATATTAATATAAGGAAGGCGTTAGTTAATGGGTTTTTCATGCAGGTTAGTTTAGAATTCTTTTAGTGGTGGGTATTTCTAATACATTGTTTTGAATTAAAGGTGGCTCATTTGGAAAGAACCGGTCACTACCTTACTATTAAAGATAACCAAAATGTTCAACTTCACCCGTCCACATGTTTAGATCACAAACCAGAGTGGGTTATTTACAATGAATTTGTCTTGACCACTAAAAATTATATCAGAACTGTGACAGATATTAAACGTAAGTTTTTAATTTTTTCTATAAGTTTCTCTAATTGTGTTTTTTAGCGGATTGGCTCATTAAAATAGCACCCCAGTATTACGACCTTCAAAACTTCCCACAATGTGAAGCCAAACGTCAACTAGAAATAATCCAAAATCGTTTAGATTCAAAACAATACCAACACGGTTTTTAGTTTTATTAGTTTTACTATGTTATTGCAATTTGGTGTGTATTTTCATTATGACTTAGTCTTCATTCCACGGAAATAAACTGATTTATTCAATAATTTATTAACTATTGTATGTATTTTTGAACAGTATATATCCTGGCTTATGTTACATACTATAGCGTTGATGTTACATTTTGCTACAGATTCTGTGTTTTCAAATTATGTATAAATGTTTAGCATAAAATTGAAGGTTTTAAGCTCAGAAATTGTACTTTATAAGTATGTTATTGGCACCAATAAAGAGTCGATATTTTTTAAGTCTAACAAGTGGATTATTTCTTTAGCGGGGTTTTTAAAAATGACGTGGGTGTCAATGTCGCCAACACACATAACCTCTCTTGCATAACCTAAAATTTTAAATTTATTTACAATGAGTTTTGATAATTATAAAACAGTGATAGAGGAAGGTGATACACTGATCCTTTATTTGACGATAAGCCAAATATACAGTGTTCGTGCAGAAGCTAAAACTTTAAGTAAGAAAGGAGTCGAAGTCGACAATGTGTTCCAGACGCCTTACGGAGCCCTCAAGTGTGCGGATTTGATAGGGAAGTCCTACGGCTCTAAAATCACTCTAAGTAAAGGATGGGGCTACGTAATGCAGCCCACTCCCGAATTATGGACTCAAACACTGCCCCATCGAACCCAAATAATATACACACCCGATATCAGCATGATTATCCTTCAGTTGGAAATTGCTCCTGGGAGTATCGTTGTGGAAAGTGGCACGGGGAGTGGGTCTCTGTCCCATGCACTTATCCGAGCTGTAAAACCATCCGGACACTTGTACACGTTTGATTTCCATGAAAACAGGGTAAAACTAGTCCAAGAAGAATTTGCGCAACATGGTTTAAGTGACTACGTCACCGTCAATCAACGAGATGTTTGTTCAAACGGTTTTGGAGATGAGCTAGAGAATAAAGCCGATTCGGTGTTTTTAGACTTGCCACATCCCTGGCAAGCAATACCGCACACTTTAAATGTAATCAAAGAGACAGGGGGACGTATTTGTTCGTTTTCGCCATGTATAGAGCAAGTCCAAAAGAGTTGCGAGGTTTTGTCAAAATTAGGGTTTCAAGAAATACAAACTATGGAAGTTTTGCAAACTTCGTATTCTGTGCAAACAAGAAAATTGCCTGTTCTTGATTTAGATTTTCTTAAAAATGAAAAAGATGGTACTGAGACAAAGGGCAAAGAAAGGGAGGTTGTGAAATGTATTACGGCTGTTCCGCCTGCCACTATGCCGGGACATACGGGTTATTTAACGTTTGCGTCGTTGCCCCCAGTATGGGCAAGGAAGCTCCAAATTAGCCTAAACCAGGCCCAGGAAGACAATTTATCCGATTTATAGAGAAAACTGTAGCGTTTTACATATTTTAAGGACATGTTTTTGTATCAATTTAATTTTTTTAAAAGTACAGTTTTATTTATTTTTAACCTTTTTGTGTTACTCATCCCAAATAAAAAAACTCGGTATATTTTTATTAGCATTATTGTGAGCAGCTTTTTGGTCATGACACTGATCATGACTCTTGACTACAATTTTTTAAAGGCATAACGAAAGCACATGCAGTTGACTAGCTGACTCGACAACGGTGTCGCCAAGTTTATGGATTATCCATAATTGTTACGCTGTAGCGTACGCATTGCCGTAGTTTTTTAAATTAAACACGCTTTTTTACGGCCGAATTTTTGTAAGTGCGCGCCGATTTGTCATCATATCCCTTATTAAACATTCCTCTCTTTACTCACAAATTTATAGTTTAAAGTTAAACTATACTGAACAAACAAATAAATTAATGTAGTTTAAAAATTATGAAAAAAATATCATAACCTTTTTTGATGGCCTTAGCTACAATACATACAGGCTGAATATAAAGTATGGAACCAAGCGGTTTTATTTTTTTTGCCTCCGGAAAATACTAATTAATATAAATTAAAGTAATATAAAAAATGTGATCGTAATTTCAGAACGAAATTTTGTTTTGTTTTTGAGTTATGCAATTTTTTTGGTCAAAATTGCACTTTATGTGAAAAAATTTTTTTGAAAAAATTAAAAATAAAGCAGATAGTTGTAATCCTTAGAGTATAGCTTTTATGAGAAAAATGATTTTATAGTGGGTTGCCATTTAAAATTTTTTTTTTTTTGTAGAACTCAAAAATAAAAGGAAATTTCGAAAAATTTTATTCTTGTTAAATCATCACATTTTTATAGTACTTTAGCACTCATCAATTAGTTTTTTCAAAAAATAAATAGTTTAAGCAAAATACGTTTGGTTCCATACTTTTTATTCACCTGGTATATCTACAGGGCGATTCAGCTTAAATGACCCACCTGACCCCTCTTGGCAGACAACTCATAATACATTATGCACTTATTCCTTGATTCAAAATTAAATGTTCAAAATATCGAGAATGAAAGAATGTGTCGCCCATTTGACAAGTAAATATTTCAAAGCGTCAAACGTCAACGCAGACATCTCAAAGTTTCAAAAATTGTTAAGATATTCATTTACAAATAATGAAAAAACTGATATGATATTAACTTATGGTGCATCTGGTAAAAATGCTAGATTCGCCGCCACTTCATACGCTCGGCAATATCCAAAACGAGTACCTACCTACATCCTGCAAGTAAGCGTAGAAGTATACGAACTGCGACTAGTTTAGAGATGGAAATTCTGGTGTTGGAAAATCGGCATATTGGCCAAAGAGCAATTGCAAGAGAAGTGGGATAAGCCAATCTTCTGTTTCTAGAAGTTTAAAAAGTAATAAATTTCATCCCTATCGCATGCAGTTAGTGCAAGAACTACGAGATGCTGACTTTCCTCGTAGATTACATTTTTGTTATTTTGTTTGGGAATAATTAGAAAATAATCCAAATTTTATTAATAATTTTGTGTTTAGTGATGTTTGATTTTGTGTTTTGTGAATAGAATAGCATCGTGGCTTGTGAGCAAAGTGCAGGTGGCCACATAGAGCATCGGCTTTAAAATATCTAATTTTTGATTTACCTATTCCTCTTCTATAAAATAAAATTGCGTTTATTCGAAAAATTGCCATTGATTGAAATGTATTGTTACATGTGCGTGTGACAGTGACACTTTTATATTTTTATATTTTTCGAACAGCAAACTTTGGTGCATGAAACTTTAAAAATTCTAATATGAATCAAGGAATAATTGCTTTGTGTATTATGGGTTGTCTGCTAAGAGGGGTCAAGTGGGTCATTTAAGCTGAATCACCCTGTATATTAATTTGAAATTTTTAGTGTTGTTTAAAAATAAATTTAAAATAATCTATTTTTGGCCATTTTATTTTTTTATACAAAAACTGATTATTTTTGTTTTATTTATGGCATATTGTAGCAAAGTGTAGTGCATAAATACCATTTCAAAATAATTAAAAATGATAAAGTTATCGATTTTTGAACAAGAATGTGCAAAAACTCAAAAATTTTCAAAAAAGTCTAAACATTTCGAAAACGGTTAAATTTTTAGACATATGGAGAAGGTACATAATTTGTTTAAATTGATAAAAGACGTTAAATACTGTATTAGAGTCAGTTTTTTTTTAATATTATATTGGATCAAAAAACTTTTAAGAGATTCAAAAATCTAAATTCAAATTCTGTAAGTTATATTGAATAATTTGCTAGAACATGGAGATGATTTTCAGTAACTTAAAATTACAGGTGCCGTTTTTGTTTTATGCTATGAAATTGGTTCTATTTTTTATTCAAATTTGATAGTCCAGCCGGAAAAGCTCTTAGTAGAAGCAAAAAAACTGAGGTCTTCACAGCACCGAGAGGTTCATAGAATCGAATGTTCACATTATCGAGCTTCTACTCTACTGTACATTTGTCTTTATCTACCTATAACTTGTTCTTTTGGTTTGTTTCGTTCAATCTGATTCACTACAAAAAGAATTGATGTAAAAAATTATTCAGCATGTGCTGTTTAATTGAAATTATTTTTAACAACAACTGATTATTATTGTTTAGAAATCGCTAAAGCGTGCTTTAAATGTGCTATTTCAGTTTGTTTCATTCAATTTCACTAAGAATAATAATTGTCTTTATTAAAGAAAAAATACCGAATAAATAAAAGAAATCGCAAAATCAGGTTGTAAATGTGTTATTTCGCCATGTTTTGTTTGATTTATTAGCTGATTTAACTTTATTTTTATGTTTCAATGGTGAAGTATAAAATTTCGATTTTATTTTGAAAAGCAAAATTGCTTTCATTTCTAAAAGTATTCAGTTCCACATTTTCCTTAATTAATTTTGCTTTGATTTAACTAATTTTTCACTTACATACTGCTTACATCTAATAATCTCGATTTTTCAAGCTAAAAATTATCGTATGGTTGATTAAAATCAGGACGGGTTTATTGGAATTTAGCGCCTGTAGAGTGAAAAATTATTTAGTAAATAACTTCTATTAACAAACATGACAAATTTTTTATCAATAATAAAAAACGATATACGATATAAAATAACGAAAACTTCTAGCAACTTTTCGGCATTTTTTTGATATATATTTTTGTAATTCACTAATTTGTAAATATTATAGTAAACCAGGGTGATATGGTGAACAAAAAAATTGGGCCCTGTAGAACACAAGAAATTGTTTATTTAAATAAAATAAAAATACTATTCTTTCATCAAATATATAGTTAACAATTTAACAGTGTCATAACCTATTAGCGACAAAACAACAATTTGAAAAAAAAACAATATTTGTTTTTATCAAATTCACCATTTCACCCATGCATATGGGTAAAATGGTAAACTTACTTTTTCTGCTTTTTACCCCAAATATCGCACATTGACTCATATTTTGTACAATCTTGGTGCAACCAAAGTTGGCATCTAATACATTTTATCCAATCCACTTTTTAGTGCTATTTTACAAAATTTTTATAAAACGTAAAATTTAAAAAAAATTATAAAATTTTGTAAAATGTAGGCATCTTTGCCTGGAAGAATGCTGATACAGTTAAAACTTTTACTTATGCCGAGAAATACGAGTACATGTAAGAAGAGTCGTTCACCGTATCAACCCATGCCCGAGTTCACCATTTCTCCCATTGGGCAGGGTTAAAACGGTGAAAAGTGCGGCAAGCAGTTAAAATACTAGAGGCAATGATGTCTAGCTTATGTAGTGTATAAACAGTCTAAAAAGGCAGAACATATCAAAAATATCTTGCGGACTAGGCTAACTGAAGCAACATCAACAAACGCCTGCACTACATAAAAATTATTGAGCATCGGAAACAGTTTTGTACAAATTACTTACGCTTTTCAAAACGGGACTGCTTTTTAATAGCTACTCGCTGCACAAATGATCATAAACAACTGTCATACATAATTACAGAGAAATCTTTCTGCCCAAAAAAAAAATAGAGTAATAGTCTAAGATCCAAATTAGGTCGACCTTCACCCATCTGCTTACCGGATGAAACTTATTTTTTATCAAATTTAATATGCAAAGGAATGTATCGCGAATGGGTTGCCTAAAAAATATGTTCAAGGATATGATTTATTGAAAATACAAAAATTAATAATTTTTTATTACTTCACTTACTTGCTTACCAGAAAAATTAAATACCAATCTAAAGTATGAAGCCTAAGGAGTATGAAAAAATTGAGTTGCCTACCTTTTTCTGTTCACTATTATTGGGTTGCCAGGTATGAACAGGTGAGTCGATGTAGTAATTTGCACCGATCTGCTTGCGCAATAAATTATATATGAAAATAAAGATAATTTTATTGCGAACACGGTGGTATAAGGTTGCCTGCGAAAAAACGTTCATGAATGAGGGTTGCCGAGCTTTGAAATTGAAAAATCGGAACAAATAAAGATGTGCGACAGAGAGGTTAAAACTCAGTGGGACGTTGGAGAAAACTTTGAAAAAATGTGGAACTACAAACTTATTTTGTTAACTTCTTCAGTTTTCATTATTTTTTAATGTTTTCACGTTGTTCCATAACACAACGATGAATCATTATATTTTTAAATTTACTAATAAAAAAACTGAAACTCATCAAAAAATCAAAATTTGTAGATGTGCCAATATTGATAATGATAAACATATTGTCATGTAAAAATAGCTATTTATGTATCAAGTACGCAAAGTAGGGTTTTAGGGGACAAATCGTAATTAATGACGAGGCGACGTAGGAGCCGAGTCTTTAATGAGAGGAGTTACCTAAAACCTTTTCCGTACGTGGTGTATACAAGATTTTTTTGTTAAAGCTCCCAAAACACCTCTAACTAATTATATCGCTCATCTTCAAAAACTCAAAAAATTCGTAATTTTTTAAACTTGACTCAATAACATTTTATGCACTTTTTTGAGTTTTTAAGACCTCTAGAAATATAAAGAACGTTATATGGATCAATTTGAAAATATTTTTTTTATTTGTATCGAAATTTTGGTCTATTTTTCACACGCAGTGCGGTCTATTGCTAATATCTCAAAAACTATGCATCGCAGAGTATTTTAACCTGTTGCATCGTGTTCAGCGCCTAATTTTACATCTAAAAAATCATATTTTAAGCGTTTTACCACATTAAGTAAATTGGCTATTTTTACGATTTTACTATCGCTCACTTTCAAAAACTCAAAAACTCCGTAATTTTTTTAATGACCCAATAGCGTTCTAGCCTGCTCTGTCGCAGTCTTCAGCGGTCTATACCACCGTGCTGGATTCGCTACAACAAAAAATTTTGCGTA